GTGGTGGTCTGTTTTTAAAATTTCCAATTCAATTACTATTATTTTTCTATATGAAAATGAAAGCAGCCTCTATAATATTATTACATCCAGACGCCCCAACATTGCGGTAATGTATCAACCAACGTCTCTGTTTTCCCACAACAGTCGTGAATCTTTCAGTGAGCGGGCTAAACTGTGTCGACAGCGGCCTAAAAAAGATCGGACATGAATCATGAACCAGATGCCTGAAACAAGCCGGAACAAACAACAGATGATCCTGGACTGGCGAGGGGGGGGGCTGTAAGGTTTTTTTGTTGGTTTTGTTTTTATTTTTCTTTGTTTGTTTGTTTGGGTTTGTTTTCTTTTTTTTTTTTATCTGTGCGTGTTTTTTGGCTTTTTTGGGGTGATATTTTAGAGTGTTCTGTTTGTTTGGCTGTTTTTGATTAGTACCCGTGAGATTACAAATCTTACGCTCCGTGAGTTTGAAAGGGAGTTGGGGACCTGATGTGGAAGTTCCTCGACAATAAATGATGTGGCGTTATGTTGTGTGCTGTGTTTGGTCTGTCTTTGTGGGTGAGTGGAGAAGAACAAGGAGGGGGGGGGGGGGAGATGTTGGGCGAAGGCAGGGGTTCGCCCAGGAGGTGATGGGGAAGGAAGAAAAGAGTGAGTAACAGAGATGGAGAGAGAGTAAAAATTATTGTCGAGGGACTAACGGAAAGGTTGGGAGCGGAGGGGCGCATAATATAGGAAGAGAATGTAAGAGAACTGGAAGAATAAAGGGGGAGAGGGGAGAAGCATAAAAAGAGAAAAGAGAAAGAGTAAGTTTTAGTAGAGGTTTTACGGCACTCGCAACTGCATAAGGTCATAATGAGCGCCAGAAGATTAGAGCTGTTACAAAAGAGTAACAAACATAAAAAAGAAGAAGAAGGGGAGATAAGGACGATCGATGTTTGATAGGAAAGAAGGAGCAAACCACACCAGAGCACCCGCCAACCACCCACAAAGAGAAAGAAAACATGGAGGGAGGTTGTAAGTAAAAGAGGTGGGGAAGGAGGTAGAAAGGAAGGGAGGAAGGTTGTTGTTTGAGGAAAGAGGAGCACATCGAAACAATAATGGTCATTTAGTGCTGGGGAAAAATAAGACAGACAGACAGACAGGAACAACAGAGGAAAAGTAAAGAAGAAAGGGGATAAAGATGGACAGACAGATAGACCGTCAGACAGACAAACACACATAATATATAGCAAGTCTCCAAAATCCTCCCCCCAACCCCCAA